CACACTTGTACAGGGTGATACCTAGCCTATTTAAAAGCATTGTTGATTGTCCTCATCAACAATTCGTACTCTAAAAAGCTAGAGAGCTGTGCACCAGCTTTTTTTCATCCACACAAAGAAACAAGCTTTTCATGCATCTACAACAAGGCGCAATGCTATTCCCAGCAAGGTTAGCATTGGATTTCTCTCCTCTGCACTTTTACAATATGGCTATGGACAAATTTGATTAGAAGGGAAAACCAACAAGAGGCACAGTGTGAACAGCAAACATATGGCACAGGGGGACAACTACGACATCCCTGCCTGGTGCCTAGGGATGACAGGGGAGCGAACCCACTTCTCGGCTGTCCACCAGCCGTGCTCCAATCTCCAACTTACCGGAGCGCCGAGGCCCAGCGTTTCCTTCCCCTGCTGTATCGGCCGGCACAGCCCTCCTCCTCTTCAAGGAGAGGTGGCTTAAAAGGCCTGCATGTGAGGAACAAGAAAGGAGGGGGTTCCTGAAAAGTGGCATCAAGCTGTTTATCAATCAAGAACCTGATGCGAGTTTCTTGTCTTTCCACAACAGTCACCATAGCACTGTTTTCTTTAAAACAAATATCTAGTCTTAACTCCACTTCATTCCTGTGTAACAGGGCGATATGAAGTTTCAGCATGATGTAGAACATCATCTGTAGAAAGCAACAGATCACAAACTCATTAGCTCTACGAAATGCCTCCAGTTGTCGTTAATAGATACACTTGCTGAGTGTACTGGCACAAATCATCTGCTCACTAATGTGCTGAAAGGTGGAATGGTGCGAGTACTGTGCAAGTTGAACTGCGCACATTTGACTGAATCAAAAAGCAACAAACTTAAGCAAAGTGACAAAAAACTGCCTTTTTATCTCAAAGAGTTTTGTGTTGCTTTCACTGTGCACAAAGTTCTGCTACATCGATTCACATCTAATTGTAATTAGATGCAAAAATCATAACTGTGGTGATTTTTAGCTCTTCCTTGATGTTTTGTGTATCGCACTTTGCATAGTGTAAACCTTCCACATCAGGTTTCCTGTGCCCTTAGTGACAAATATCTAACATGCTGTTAAATAAAGGTTTGTTGGTAAAGACTTCATCTTCAACATAAATATTTAAAGTTATTTATTTTTAATAAAAACCCCTTCTACACCTTGATTTCACTTGATTAGTAAATATAACTCTTCTTTGCCTGTGTGTCACAGAACAGTGATGCACTGGACATAACACACAGCTAAAACCTGCTGTCCTAAAAGAAACAACACATTTGAAGTCGACACAGTCATCACCACTGAACCACTGAGCTCGATGCACAGGGTGCTTGAGATAAACGTTATTTCTACGTTCATCAACAGACAACCACATGTTTCTAAAGTGATCTTGATAACCACATAGCAACTGCAGCAGCATAAACACTGTGCTGTTATCGGAAACAAAAGAGGCACCCAGTGACACAGTGTGCTCTACTGAGCCTAAACTCAGCTGAAAGTCCACTATAACAACCAGATTGTCTGCAGTGATCCTGTGAGAGGGATCTGAGACCTAGAGGAAAATGTGGAGGGATGAAAGGCCTGATGACAAATTGGGACGATAGAGGGGAACAAGAAGCTATATGCACAGGCCAGCAGAGCTGGTCCGATAAGAGCTGAGTGGAAAACAATATGCTCAAGTATTTACACAGACGTGTGCGCTGAGAACACCGGAGACTTGGACCTCTCTGGCCTTGAACAAGAAAACCAGAAACAGAGGTGGGACACACACGTGTGCACACCACCCGTTCTCCTTTGCACTCAGTAAGACAAAACAAACAATGGTCCATTACCATTAAACATTACTCCACCTGAAAAATAGACACCACCATAATATGGTGCAAGGGAAAATTGTGAATGTCAGAATGTGCCACACAACTAAAAACCACAGAGGCTGCCAAAAACACCCAAACACAACTGTCATCACCCAGGACAACACGAGAGATAATCATCACTGTCACTGATGATTACGTGGATTTAGGGTCATACATATTTTAAGTTTATTTTATTTAACCTCTGGTTAGCCAGAGGGGAAAATCCTTTCAGGTCTGACAAATAGTTTTTAAGGGCAGCGTGGTAAGATGGTGCCAGAGTCATGGTGGGCAGAGGCCAATCAGTATGTGTTTCCATCCGCCAGTTTTTATTTGGTTTTCCTTCTTCAATTTCCCATTAAAAATGTCAAGTTAAAATGACAATTGGCTAAGGTAGAAAAATATAAGAAAATGCGACATCTGTGTGGAGTAACCAAGCCACAACCTCCAGGGCTGAGAACTGAAGCCGGTGCAGAAGTGTTAAAACCTGCAGTTCGTCAAATGGTCGCTTGACGCTGGCTCCAAAACGGACTCAGTCCCCATAGACTTCCATGTTAAAATGACCAAATTTAGAGCAGGAATAAACATGTTTACAGATTGGTACAGAAAACGGTTTATGTCCGCTTCCATGACAACTGTACTGGGGCTGAATTTTTGTATAACTGCTTGTTTAAATTATCTTGAGGCTAAAAGTTATGCATTTAAATTAAGGGCATTGCCGCTTTGAGTGACAGGCGGGACAGTCCTGCCATAGATGGCTAGCTGTCTCGCAAGCTCTACTCTCGCTCCACCCCTTTGCCCATTTTTGGAGCAGGCGGGGGTGAAGTGCTACCAATATGGTGACGGCCAGGGTTGAGCTTTCAAACCGCACAGAAAACCAATGGGTGATGTCATGATGAGTTCTCCATCTTTTATATACAGTCAGTGGGAGCAACGAGGAGACTGAAACCTTCCTCGAAGGAAGGAAACAAACATAATGGCATGTTTCCATCATGTCACCGACACACATGCTTTCAGCAGCTGCTTCCTTCTGACTTCGCTAATTTGAAACTGCAGGGAACAGTGACACAGGAAATCAGTGGAAACAAACCCAAGCAAACAAGCAGTGCACCAACAGCGTGCACAGCACCGCTCCTGTCACATCACAGCAGGGAAGGGGCTGAACGCTGGCTGTGTGTGTCCGTGCGTTATCTTCAGAGCTGGATGCCAACAGAGCCAGCATGAAAACAGACCTGTCGCCACCACAGCATTTAGTCACGACGCTGCCTCAGCAAACTGTGGGGAAAAGGTTTTCACTTTGTGCGGGTATACTGTAGGATTTTAATTTTGACCCTGCTGTTGTGTTGGTGCCACGTTCTGCCCTTTGAGCCATGCAGGAAAACAGTCTGTCCTTTAATTACTATGTTAGTTTGAGAAGCCTGGTTAAAAGGGAATGGCTGTAAGACAAATGTCAGCGTCTTCTCACAACCAGTACGTGTATGGAGCGTCATGATAAAACTGTTGTTAGTGAGATGATCATATCTGCTGCAAACTGGCTCTATCCAGTGGAAACCACATGCTGTAGCTCCAGATATGGTGACTGAATTTTTCAGTAAATATTAAGTTCCTCCACAGGCTGAAAACATTTCTCTCCCTAGGTTAAACCATTAAAAACTAATTTTAGTATCTGAAAAATATATTGTCAATATATTGTTATTCTTGGCTCATAATGAATTCACTTTTTAAAAGATACATCATCTTCTGTGTTGTGTTTCCATTGTAAATTTAGCCAGAAAAGTAAATTCCACTTGTTCATTTTCAGCTATGGTGGGGCAAAAACCAATTAGATGTGTAGACAGAAACAGGACATCATGACAGAATTCACAGCTGCTGTAGCCAGCAGAATGTCCAACTTTAAATAATGCATTCACACACATGCACACTGGTCTACTGGTATACTACTGACGTGCAAAAACAAGTGTTAGTACAGGAAGCAAAAGTACTGTTAGACCAGCATGTACACACTGTACACAAAGACAGTAGCAGTAGCACACACTACCACTACCGTCAAAGACAGAACAGTGTGCCCACCTCACACACACACTGGTTCTCTCACCCAAACACACACACTTTTATTAAGAACCTCTCAACAGCCAACTCAGTTGACCTACAACTCAGAGTAAACTCCAAGACAGTTGCTTTATTTAAAGACTAGTCGGATCCTGTTTGACATTCAGCTGTAGTTTGTGGCCTTGCTGTTCCCAAACTGGGGGTCAGGAGCCTCAGCAGGGACTCCAGCAAGTACACAGTTTATTACAAATTAAATCAAACTAAAGCTGCCCTGCCTGGTAGTCTGTTTATCCAGTGAGCTGCTAAAAATAGAAAAATAAATATAAGCAGGACTGCTCTAATGCAAAGTTTAGGCTAAAGCTTTTATTTTACCTTTATCAGCTGATGGGCTTGATAAGAATCATTTCTGTTTAAGATTACAGTATGTTATCACCACACCTACTTATCACAAGGCCAGAGAGCTCCGAGTCCATATCTCAGATTCAGATTTTGTTTCACTATATGCATGTTTTCTTTTATACTCATCCTAATAATTTATTGCATGTGATCTGTCTGACCTGACCTTTGGCTAGGGGTTTCTGACTTGTCTAAGGGTGTCTGGACTTTGCTGAATGTGTCTAAGGACCTTTGTATGTTGCTAAAGTTTTCTGGAATAAGGGGGTCTCGCTTCGACTAAGGGTTTCAGAAACTGGTTGTGAGTGTCCGGATGTGTTCAGTGTGTCTGATTTGGCTAAGGGTGTTCACAGGTGGTTTAGGACATCAGGGGTTTATTAAGGGTGTATAAACACTTGGTGAAGAGTCTCTGGACTTGAATAAGCACATCTCTGTCTTTGCCTAAGGAATACATTTTATTAAGGGTTTGTATTTGGCTAAATGCTTGAACTATGCTCAACACTATCTGTCAAAAAGAGTTGGATAAGGATTACTCGCCTTTCCTATGGTGTCTGGTTTGTCCTGGATTTTGCTGAAAGTGTTTAACTTTGGCTATAGGACTCAGGAGTTGAGTAACAGTCTCTAGCCTTTCCTATAAGAACCAGGATTAGTTCTAGGATTAGGGACATCCAGACTCTTCGGTCATGTTTCAGTCCTAAACCCTTACCGGTCTTGTGGTGGCGGTGGTGATGGTGGTGGCGAAGGTGGTGGTGGGCGGAGATGTGGACGTGTTGGGTCAGGATGTCGGCCAGCCTGCCACCGGCTGCCCCACTACCCCCACTGCGGGTGGATGAAGAGGAGGAGGAGGCTGTGGAGGAGGTGGTGGTGGTGGAGGATGTGCCGTGGATAGCCCGGCTGATCCAGTGCTCCATGCTGATGCTCCCCTCCCGGCTGGATGAGGTTCCTCCGCCGCCGCCTCCATTCTCTTCTTCTTCGCCCTCTCCTCCTTCTTCTTCTTCTTCATCACCGTCACCCTGACCCTCGCCCTCTGAGCCTGAGGATGTGTCTGAGAAGGAAAACATATGGGATGGATGGTGAATGTGAAAAGACAAGGAATAAACCAAGTTCTGAGACCAAAACAGCAGAAGTGAAATAACTGTAGACTTGTTCACAAAACTGAAAGATTTTAAAAAATATATAGTTTTTTGACAAACAAAATCCTCACAATCGAGTGTATAAGAAAATATATTTAGGGATAATAAGAAAAAAACATTATCTGTGTCGGTCTCAGTCTATTGTCTGGAGCATGGAAAGGTTTCCAGCTTCCATCTGTTTAGTCGCCACAGGAGGTGATGGAGGAAAGTTTATTTTTGAAAGCTAAGTAGCCTGTGCGTATTTGTGTGCACATATTTTGCATGTGATTTCCATAATGCCCAGGGCACCACTGACAGTGTTGATAAGAATAACAACACAAGCTGACCCAGTTGTCTCTCTCTCTC